TTTAGTACTTTGAGAAGGCAAAGGCTCAAGGCGAATAGTAGTTCTTTATTTCATAGCAGAACCACTGCATTCGCGCTTCATTCTCTGCATTGGCAGTATTTCTTGCAATTGAGGTTGGTAGTTTGTAAGCTGGACGATTTTGGAGGTGCGGCTTTACTCTCCGCGTCCCGTCCGCCCCAATCCCCAGTTCCAAGTTCATATCTTTATTAGGGCAGTCGCAATGCGTCACTATGAGTTACAGCGATAGCAAGCTAAATAGTCCGTAGCGCTACGGGGTGCAGGAGGGAGAGCGATTGGACATTTATTACAAACAAAAGTCCTTGCGGACTCTCGTGTAATCTCTTACGAATTCTCGTGTACACGCATGCAAAAAAGTCCATGTGCTTTCTTTCATACGCTTTCAGGTGCTTCTAAAAGAAAAACTATTTACATTGAAGGCACCCCGCCCCTTTTCCGATCGAAAACGACGAGAAGCAAGGAGAGACAACCCTTCCTTCCTCCCCTCTCCAAAGAGAGGAGAGATAACAGAAGGTGCCCCTCCATGATCAGGGTGATACATGACGGAAACCGATTTCCCTCGACGCCAGCGCAAATTGATGAGAGGCGACTTCCCCTCCGTCAACTGCGTACTGCGACAATAGTTAAAGGAAGCGTTTCCTAGTCTCCCTCACCTCGATCACGACGGGAGATGATGGGATCCGCCGGGAAATATCTGAATGGCCTGCAGGAGAGGTCATTTCCCGATGGATCAATGCACCATCGACAGTTCTGCTCGAGGCGTCGAGGTTTTCCAAGCAGCCATCACGACAGCCCTAATATTTATCGATATTCCGTATCTCTTCCCACGGTCTGCAGCGGGAACAGACTAGCCGTGAATCAAGACCAGCCATAATCCATGGAGCATGAACTGCTGCAAATTTTCATCGAAACTTTCAAAGAAGATTTTGATATTGCTGATATGAACTCGATGAATGGCGGATGTTCGATAGGCAGCGTCTTAACGTCAACGTACTGGAAGGGATGCATCCTGTATTATTATATGCACTATGTACTGCAGTACAGGAGTTGCAGTATCATCCTGTTATTCGACCACTTAAAAACTAACACGGGAAATTTATAACCCCCTAACATTATCACTATGACCTAGGGTCCTGGCGGACCCAGCCCTGCTTTCTGCAAAAAATATGTACTCTGGGTCATACTTTTGTTGACAGATCTCGCTAGTGTGTTTGAAAGACGGTTGCATCTGTCAACGCATTCTGAAATACCAGGTCCGAACGGACGTGCCTCGCGTCAAAGTGATAGGGATACGAGCTGACTCCATGTCATACCCCAGGTCACAGTGATGAGGTTAAACAAAGTCAGAGAGGGATGCGGCCGGAGAAAAAAAAAAAGTTCCATTCCGGAAGTGACACCGTCCTGACAAAGGATCGGGGAATTGGGGTTCGCTGGTATGTGCCAGTCTTATCTTGGCTCCTCAATCACATACCCCGCGTCCCGAAGAGAAAAGCCCATATGTGGAGGAAAGTGACTCTGGTCAGAGAACTTCGTCAAATGGATATCTTAAACGGACGGACTCGCGTGATCATTCGGTTCGTGAAAACTGGTGGGGGACATAACATACAGGGTGACGGATAATGGGCGCTGCCATAGGAACCATTAATCTTTCCTTTGAATGAGAGTACGTGAGTTTCAAATTTTGCGAGGACGCTCAATAGCCGCATAATTCTTAACGCAAGCGCATCAAGTTCTTATTACTAGCATGTAGCTAGTAATAAAGGCGAGTTGTAACGTAGTAAAGTAGTAAGAAGTAAAGGCGACCTACGACAACAAACACGGTCCAGTCGAGTGAATCATCGACAGCAAGTTGAACGGCCGGGGAGTGTTGCTGATGACCCGGCAGAAAGCAACGGAAGCCCTGAGACAGGAAGAGAGTTGTGCAGAGAACGCGAGCGATTTTCGAGAAGAGACCACAATAACAGAGACGTCGAGCTGCTCAGCAGATTGGAATCAGTTGCGAGGGCGATCGGACGATCTGGTTCACATAACCATTTCTTTCCAAACAAAATACAGACCCATCAACCGTTGAATCACCAAGCAATTACGAACCATCTATTTCGGAAATGTTATCAACATTATGGAAAGTAATGAAATGAAGCAATGTGAAAATTTTTCTTCCAAGGCTTTCCCTTTCTACAACCTCAACCTCAACCCCCCCCCATTCCTTGCAGGACTCCCTAACGTTAGGCTTAAGCCTAAACGACTGGTTATCTTGAGGTCTGGCATAAGCCTGACCTGAGGACAGCCAGTTTTCACCGTTTTGCCGTTCAAAAGAAACTCAATCCTCGACTAATGTGGCCAATGAAGCCTATAAGGATCAATCCTGTAGTCTTCGAGGCATCTCGTTGAGGACGGGGAACGTCAGGCCGATTAGAGGCCTGTTTCGAGAACCATTTCAGTGGGGGCATGGAACGTTAGGCCTACCTGAAATTCCTCGAACCATCTCGATTTGGTATGAGGAGGGAATGCCTCTGTGAAGCTTCAAAAACAAGATGGGCGCCATCCTGTTAATTCAGGGATGTCTGGATGAGATACTTCCTTATCCCACCCCACCGATCCGCCACGAACCATCGTTTCAATCTCAGCACAAAAATGTCTCATGCATGAAAAAAAAAAACAGAAGATCCAGACACAAATACGAAGGTCATAACAGTCATGAATCTGAAAATAACTCTGGCACGATATCCGGCAACACTGGATGACGGGACGGGAGCCATCACGCTAAGACTAAATGAACGACAGCTAATTTCATTTATTTATGGCAAAGGGTGCATGTAAACAACAAAAAGGCCACTTTTCATCTATTTATTTCTTTTGTTCGATCTCTTTCCTCTGAAAATTTCCCGGAGTGGCTTCCCAAAGGATGGAGAAAAAAAGTTACCGGAGTGATATTGACAGCTTGACAAAGTGAGATTCAGTATTATCCGCATCCTCGGGGAGATGGAGCTTCAAATTTGCTGGAGCGATTCTGTACTATGAAGGCAAGAAGCAGGGCCCCTAGCTATTTCGGCGCCCTGAAGAACGCCCCCCTCCCCCCCCCCCCCCCTCCAGCAGGGAGAAGGTTCAATCCCTAGTTTCTAAAATGACGCCGAAACTGAAGGCATATCCACTTTCTGAATGAAACTGAGGGTGGCATCCATTATTGCTTCATACATACATTCTGTCACGTTTTGACGCCGGTGACGGTGAATTTGCGTTTTGCGTGACACCGTTTTGACGGTGAATTTGCGCCCTGTGCCGGGGCATACGTGGCACATGCCTAAGGCCGGCCCTAGTAAGAAGCATGTCAAATTCGTTCCTGTTGAAGCTCTCAGAGAGGAATTCGAGGAAGTTCAATTTCGTTATGGGAAGGTGCAGAAGAAAGGTAAAAGGCGCTACCAAAGCCTATCGATTGATCTCGGAAGAGTTCGGCTTAGTGATGAGCCTCGCTTCCACCTCGATGGCTACTATCTATAAACAAAATTGCCAGATCGGAAAATCTCCGCTTTACTCTCTACCCTCAATAAGTGACGGGTGTGCAACTTCCAGAAGTGGAATCATTGGTGCTGGTCCTTTTTCCTGGCAAGGAGATTTCCTCACGGTGTCTCGCGGGTCTGTCGCAGAATTTCATCATTCCTAAACAGGGAGTCGAGCAAATGCGAGAAGCCTGGTTTACTCGAGGCGAGAGGCCTCACTCGGGAATTTTCAGTTCCTCATCGAACATTTCGTTGAAAGGACAATTGCCCTGTATTGCAACATGGCGTCTGGAAAGGTAATAGACTGGCCTCTACAATGCCCAGCCCTCAACCCTTAGTTACTTCTAGTGGGGTTGTATTAAAGATAAAGTCTTCGTAACGAACCGGAAATCCATCGCGGCGCTCAAGGATGATTCTCAGCGGAATTCAAAATATTTCCAATGAGACTCTCGACGTTGTCGTCTTGAATTTCCATGCTCAGCTTCATCACACGATTGCTTGCGAGGGTACCCACATTCAGCACATAATAATCTCCTGCAGTTTAATATGCCATTTGAGTTTTGTTTCTAGCTTCTATAGATTAGAGAAACTAAGTTTTATTTTTTTCGGAACACCCATTACTTGTCCCCTTGTAATTTCTCCTATGCACATGCAGAATAGTAAAGTGTAACATCCTGATCTCAAGTCTAGATCCATCTGAAAATCCTACTCCAAAAGTCAATTTGGGGTCTTCTGCAAATTTCTGTCATTTGTTGAAATGGTGGCAAGGATTAACAATCCTGCTGGAGGTTATATATGAGGATTTGGGTTCCTTTTCCCAAAGACAGGCCAAAATATTCCTCTCTTCAACATAAAAGTACATTCGCAAATATTTAAGACTAAGGCAGCCAGTTGGCACTTTGTGTGCCAAATGTGGCACATTTACAACTAAAACCAGTGGGCAAGTTAAATATTACAAAGATTAACTTCACCTACTTCAGCCCAAGACCACACCCATATGATGTATATATTAGTCTGAGGGGAAAACGATCCAAAGCATTGCTTCAAGGAGCTCCAAACTTGACAATGTCTTTGAAACATGTACACTGAACACTAGAATTGAATTGCAATTTAGGAAATGATTAGAAAAGAGTTGGAGTCAATCACAAAATGAAGAGATGGAGCGAGGACATGAGAATAGAAATTCATGCTGAGTCAAGTTTTGTGTTTCACTTCAACTGGACCAAACTTAAAGCACAGAAAAAAAATCCATGCTGTAAAAGTCCAGGATTTTGAAAAAGATTGGTAACAAAGTTTGTTACATCCCCCCCCTCCCCCAACATCCATCAGATCTTTCTTTGCTTGGGGATAAGGAGGGTGCCGTCAGTCCTAGATTGCTCCCTTCCAAACCTGTTCATGAAGATATGGAAGTCTGCTATGTAGTAATAAAGACAAAATATTTGAATTGGAAAGCATCTGTGACTTCAACAACAATGCAAGTCATTTGCTCTACTTAAATATTTCAAATGTAGGTGCGAGTCACAGTATCAGCCAGCTTAAAAAAACCACTGCCATAGCTTAGGCATGAACAAAATATATTAAAGGCAAATTATAACTCTCAATCTAATGGGTGGAGAATGCACAAGCCATGTGATGGGGACCTGCATGTGGTACATTTATTTAGAATCTTCTGAGGGATTCACATATATATCGACATCAGGGAGTTGGGCATAAAATCAATAAAATATATGAGGGGGAGATGGGAATTACACTAGATGGGACTACCACCTCTCACAGAATGCCAAACTCCACCAACAGCAAGAAGAACGTATTCTTCCTCATGATTTCCAAAGAAAGACCATTGATATCATTTAAAATGATGAATGATGCATGAAACTACACATGAATGGAATGCAGCAATGTGTGGCTCCTGGCCCAAATCTTTACATGATAGGAATGTAGTTATCAATCTTGGCCTTGTGTTTCTGGGCGACGCATTCCGCAATCCAGACAATGTTGCGGCACTCCTGCTCCTTCAGGCGGAGATAGGAATAGAAGATTCCATAGTGGAACTGCTGCATGAAAGCAAGCATGTTGAGCTCGACCTCATGCTCGAAGAACTTGTCTTCCAGTGTCTTCTCTCCAGGATTGTTCCCTGCGCCCTCAAAGAGCACCGAGTACTCAGAGTAATAGCCAGCCACAGACTTGACCTAGGTAGAGGAATCCAAATTAGATTAGGCCTAACAAAGTCAAATTGACCCAATCCAATAACATTGCAATAATTTTACCCTTTTGAGTACGTGTTCTACTTTTTTTTTAAATCCAACAATTATCTGCAGTCTAGGTTATTCTTGGCCAAGACATTAGGAAATGCACATTATGTGGTCTTATTTCCATGTTTGGAAGACAAGCAAAGGTCACCATGAAAAATGTTAATTGCAATTCTGAAATCATATAATGCAACATCCAAAGGTTTCATTCCTCCTCCCTGAAAATTATCATGTCTCAACCCCAGGGGCTTCCACACCCACTCTAAAAGTATGTCCAAAGCAGAGACTCAGACAACTTGAGAAGCCCTTCAATACAGCCTCCATATTATAATTCAAAGCCATGTTTTCTGTATAGTCAAATTTTTAAGCTTTCAGCAACATTTGGGGTATATTCCATCATTTTTGGGTCACACTATATTAGCAGATATAGCAGATGCTCTGACAAAAGTCCACGCTAGAGGTCTTTAAATCCGATTTTTAATTCAACAATAAACTCACCTCCAACTACTGAAAGAGTGCCAGAATGGGCAAGATCTAGGCCTATGCACCAGCCTTATCCCAAAATCTTGCAATGCTTCAACATGCAATAAATGAATTTCACCTTTGCCACTTCTTACAAATACCTAGTACCTTTGACTAAAAAGAGGGTGATCTATAGGCTGTTTATAAACATTGTCTCTCAAGGTGGCATTTCTCAGCTTCAATGATGAAGGGTCTGTGTCATGTGGTAGCATTGTACATGGATGTGCAATGTACTGTCTTTAATGAAGATGACATTTTTGCATGTCCCTCTTTCTCATTGGCCTAAATGTTTTAGGAATTAGTCACACTATCTTGATGGATGGGCTAGCAGGCTATTGGGTTACTTTGATCACATGAAAAAGAGAGGTATGATTGATGTGATTCTGGTTAAACAGTGTTTTCTACTCAAGTCAAACAATATTTCACTTGATTTTGGCACTTATACATGGGATGCTCCTCACAGTCAGGCATCTGAGTCAAGTGAATAACTGCCAGATGCAAGTGAAAGGAACTATAAGAAGAGGCATGAGTCTCCTGGCTGAAGTGCATGTTGAAGGCACCTGTTTAAGTTGGTACAATGACAAGGTCTAACTAATTACAGTTACTTTTTCCAAGCCCCACCACAGCTTACCAATAGGCCAAGTGGAATGTCATTGGCCTTAATCAATATGAGGAAGGCATGGAAAGGCAATGAAACACCAAGGAAAAGTCGGCAATTTAACCCATGCCTCCTCGTTGCCAGTCAAGCATGCTACCATTACACTGCCAAACAATGTAAATTCAGTCAAACATCTTAATGCCTTCCATACTGCTACCATCATATTAGCCCCACCATTAGCAATTCAAATCTAGGCCTAACTTTGATGTCTTACTAGCAAATTTGACAACAGAAAGGTTACCAACCTTGAGGCCTTCATTAAAACATGGAATCAACAGAATAAAAGGCTTGTCTAATTGAGAAGTCAATTTATGCCAACCAACCTGTTCGTAGTCATCGGCACGAGCCAGCATGGCCAATCCGTCTGGATAGAGGAGACCACACCTTGGGTACAGCTTGGCACGGTCGTCCTTCGTCAGCTCCGTTCCGAAGGAATTGATGGTGATGATGAAAGCTCTCCTATCTGCTTCAAAGGCCAGAATTTTGCACATGGTATCTGCCGTCGCTCCCCCCAGGTCCTCGCAGAACTTGTAGAATGCCTCCAAAAATGCCTTGTAGAGTGTGTTTCGGATGATCTCGATGTTCATCTCGTCCAGGTCTTTCTCCGAGATGCAGTCGACGAAGAAGGGGGCCAGGGGAGTGTCGACCAGGACTGCATTGTAGAGCTCGGCCGGTGTGGAAGCGACATGAATAGCCTCCATCTGCTCAAAGCTTCCCAGGGGGTGGCATTTCGGGATGAGCTCCGAGATGGGGCGCTGATGAAGGGTGCCGGTGATGAGGAGGATGATGTTGTCGATCATGTAACTGTAGGTGATGAAATCCAGGAAGGTGGACAGGGGCTCGTAAGACATATGTCGCATGTGTTGGAATTCTATCACCAATTTCTCTCTCAGCTTGTCGTCGATCGTGGCCACAGCCAATGAACCCGGTTCGTTGGCCAGAAAGTTCCCATAATCTGTGCTCTGGAGATGAAGCTTCAAATCTTCCAGGGTTTCGCACTGCACCAGATTGAGGTAATCAGCTCGAGTAAGGATACCATTCTTGAATCCTCGCACGAGGCCTTCTAAATATCCGCTATCTATATTGAACTGGTATTCCGTCATCAACACCATTTTGACGGACTGCCTCTTCTTCACGGAGAAGGAAAAGATGAAATGAGGAAGACAGGAGAGGGAAGGACGAGAGGAAAGTGCGACACAAGATGAAAAGGAGAGACAGAGCTCGGTTCAGTGCGGATCAATGTATGCCACCATGTCACGTGAAGTCTGCATGACGTCATCGAGCCTTGTGCAACCTTCCTCGCGTCGTCTGCTAGACTGCGCCGCCTGCCACTGAATGTCGTCTGCTGCAAGCTCTCCGATTCGCAGCCCTTTCTGTATAGTCTGTCATCATCTCGCCATCGATTGTCGAAAGCCTCGTCGGGTTTCAAATTTTGCTTATTCTGAAGTTTCAAGAAAACATAAGATTCGAAAGACACAATGATAACTTCGTTCTAGATGGTTCGTGGAAGAAAATTTCTGCTATCTTGTTGTTCTAAACTGCATACATATTTCCTAAGTGACCTTTCCACGGCCCGCTTCTGCCGATTGTCCGATTTCCTTTGGATTTTCTCTCAATGTTGACATTCCGATCATGTTTACAAAGAACAACATCGCAGATTTAGGACAACGAACAATCCCTGGGCATGGAGAGGGATATTTTTGGACAAACCAAAATATATATTTGGCAATATTGGGACGATCGTTAAAATTCGCTGAATATCCTCATCTTGAGCACTTGAAGCTGGAGTCATCGTGCCTTGAGGTGATGTACTGGAGTTATTCCGTTGGAGAAGCGAGAAGGATTGCCGAAGTCGATGACGGCAAGATTTTTTTTTCATGCCGCTCACGACATGCGCCTCTTACACAATTCGCATCCTCCGAAAATAATGCGCTGCCACCATGTTTTATTTATTTATTTTCCAAACTAGCTCATGTAAAGGAGTTCTGTACTCGGAAGATGAAGCGCAACTGGTTTGTGCTTCGCCTGGAAAAAAAGACATCTCGCACGAAACGATATCGTCTCGGAAGCATGACGCGAAGGGCGAAGATTCTCGACGATTAGGAGCAGCCGGTCATGAAGACATACGCGGTCCGATGCAAGTAAAAGGAGAATGGAGAACCCACCTTGAAGAAATCGACTCCAAAGGTCATCTCCATCCGCAAGGAAAGCATATCGATAGGAAAGGGCGACGAGATGGGCAGCGAACGCGTTGGAGGCCCGGAGCTTGGCTCGCTCCACCAGTGTCCCAGCCTCATCGGGAATCCCCTATTCAGATTTCATTCCATCCTCTCTCTCTTTTCCTCGCGGGATGTCGAAATCGTCCGAAAGGGCCTGCACTGCAGTCATCGTAGCTTCTACTAGATTGCCTGCTGATTCTCCCATTGCGGTTTTTCTGCTCTCTTCCCAAGATTGAGAACCAGTTGGGGGAGATATCGTCCACACTGAAAGCGGGGAAGAGATCGGGTGATGAGATGGTCGTGAACCGAGATGAAGAAGCCAGCTGGGTGGCAGAGGCATTACAGGAATTCTCCAGACTCCCAAATCATTCTGGCTAGAGGGACGTCGCAGTGACAGAGATCCCTTTCAGATGGCGCTCTTGACAGCGGCACAGCAGCCGGCACCGGGGCACGGTCACGCGTCTCGAAGCTTGTCGCAGGGGGTGAAAGGGGGCGACGGCTAAGCAAATGCAAGGGTCCAGCGAGTATCGTCCGGTGGGGAATAAGGATGAAACGGGGATGGATGGAGGTCGAGTTCCGACGGTGGAGAGGTCCGAGCTCGCTGGTGACTCCGTCACGTGCCTCGAAACAGCTAATCCTTCTATTTGAATGGATTGAGGAGTAAGAGAGAACCCGTATCCTTCTCTTCGTTCTGCGCAATGACAGCGGATATTTCTCACTTCCCTTTTCCTGACGCATCATTGCGTCCGACCTGTTCACGGTAAGGAAACTTCTCTGTTTCACTTGGCGCATATATGCGTATTTCTTGATATTAGGTCTCTTGGTCCAAATCCCGGCGGTTCGAAATAATGTTTTGACCTATGTGTAATCGTATAATGGGACACTAGCTCACAGAAAACACCGGTGGAAATCAGGGCTCGCTTCCTGCTTCTGACGCGCGCAAAGTGGTTAGGGAAAACATAGATTCGGTATTTTGTTTAGTGCCGACTGAAGCGGTGTAAATGGTCCAGCAAGAATCAATCAAGGAATCGATGACTTTCCCAAATGTGGCTCTGAAGTAATCATAGTTAGGCAAGAGCAGACGATTATGCCGTATCGCGACGTGAGGTGAGGAGTAGATGGGACGCATAGTGGACCGGATCCCAGGAAAATGCGGAAAATATTATCGATGGAGAAAACCTCTTAAGATATTGTCATTTCTTTTGTCTTACTACTGGTTACCATGCAAATTTCAACTCCATCGAATTGGATGAGGCTAGGGGCAGTTGCTTCTTGCTTTAGGTGATATTCTAGACAGTAAGTCCTTGATGTAGGGGAGAGTGAAATTATGACCGTTTCCCACCTCTTCTCCTACTCAGAATTCATGTTCCATGTCTATCTTTCACCTTCTATCACTTCCCTCGCCTCTTTATTTCACTTTGGAACCACTTGACGTGTTTCTGTTCCATTTCCAATGTAGCTATTGCGACTAACATCTATTGATGTCAACTCCCGTCAATCGGGCTCTTCCCATTTGAATGCTTCTCTCCCCTATTTTAGCAGTTTGGTCATGGGGTTATAAAATTTCATGTTTCCCTCTTACCGAGACTACCGTATCCATCGATTTCAATTTACGTCAATCGTCGATCAAAAAAATTATCACTCCCAACTGTTGCTTACGTTAGTCTTTCTTATTTTTACAAAAGTAAAATTTTAAATGCGCTTGTATAACTCACACAACTTATCAGGATGGGAAAAGAATATTGCTACGTGTTGGGACTGACTTGGTCATTGTCATTGTTTCAAATGAATTACCGATATTCCCACCTTGCGTGAATTAGGGCGGAGCAAATTGTCGCAGTTACACTCTGAGAAAGAGATGTAATATAGCAATATTGCCGATGGGTAATCACGGCAATTACATGTATTCGGTTGCGGTATTTGTCTTTAGGCAGTCACGGGAAAAAAAAAGAGCCAAATGAAAAAGAACGAAAAAACATTTCTTTTTAAACGTAGAAACAGTGAGAAACTGGATGAAACGCACAATTTCGAATATTATACTACGGCCATGAATGGAAATCACCATGCTGATAGATCAAACAAAGGACAACAGTCAACTCAAAAGAGAGAATTGCATAAGAAACGCCGGAAACATGTTACACTATGGAGATTTGACTTTTCCCCCAGGTTCTTAGCAAGTTTGGTCCACTGAGCGACGATGAGTCCGATTTCCAGCTGATTAGACGAGAGAACGACCACTTGGTGAAAGTCATTTTAAAGCATGTTGAGGGAGAAGAGCAGCGCGGAGGAGACCGCGTTCAGCCGCCCGAGAGGCTCCATGCGAAAATCCGGTGAGGAGGGAACCTCTACATTTCTTCGAGGAGGGAGCCAGAAGCAGTTGGGAAAGCAATCGGTAAGGAGATGTCATATTATTTTTATTATCGTTTTAGATCCGGGAACAAATACTCGCAGGCACGCGGCGGTCAGTAGGAGTAGCTCCAGGCCTTTATGCATTACATTTTTTTATGCTCGCACTGAGAAAGGAAACGGTAGCTCAAGTGCTTCCACCCGATACGCTGCAAAATATTATTCGAGAGGATAACATTGCTCTATATGGGTCATTCCATGCGAACTTAACCAGATAGTGCACCTGACCACATAAAATACAATTCTGATACAATTCTTAAATAAATAAATACAAATTCGGTCCCATCGGATCTGCGATTCTTAAGATACCGACTATTTTCGTTCCGCACCGTTTCAGACCTTACTCTGCTTCTCATATTGTATTGCCGTCATTTCAGATTTGGTTTTGAGATTACAATTCTTGGCCATGAAAGACATATTTAATATGATAGTAGTACACGCTGGGGATGGGAGAAGTATGGAACCAAGAATGGACTGGAATCCTTGAGACCGGACAGGAACGGAAAAGCACAATTTGTCACGGGAGCAGAATGAGAAGACAGCAAAGAACTTTGAGGGGGACGGGAATACTATCATGATGACGATGCAGGATGAGAAAGAACAAGCTGAAGCGGCCTATCAAGGAGTGGGCTCATTTTCAATGACTGTCAGGTACAAAAGGATGTTGCAGATAGAGGCGGATCCAGAGGGGAAGGGGGGGGGGGGGGGGACCGGTCCCTCTATGGCTGAGCTTCCCAACCTTTTTCACCCAAGACTCCAAAAATCACGATGATACCATTCAGGACCCCAAGCACCCGGCGGAAGTTAGACATGCTCCCCACCTATGCGCTAAAATCGAAAAGAAAAGCATAACTTGGCATTTAGTTGCCGGTTGGCGACACTACCACGTAAGTATGATCTTGGCGACTCCTGGGTTGAGAAGCCCTACTCTATGGCAAGATTCGAATTATATTTTTTAAATGTAAGTATCCCGCAAATTAATTTTCGTTGGGGCCTGTGGATATCTAGATTTTACCGCAGATGAAAAACGAAGGAGGCGACAGGATGGAGCAGTAGCGTGCCCAGGAAATCCGAATGGGGGGTTGCCCTCTGAAACACTCATTACCCACCCTAATGGAGGGGGTTAACATATGAAAAAACTGATAACCCACCCTGTATTTGTGGCCAAATTAAAAAAGTTTGTGAGAATCGAACCTGCAAAATTGACCCCAATTATGACCCCCCCCCCTTGGGCACGCCACTGGAATGGAGGGTGGTAGATAGGAGGGAGGGCGGGATTGGAACTTGGAAACTTGGTATGAGTAATTTCTGTATCCGCTACTGGTTGCAGATAGGTGGGGAGACAGGAGGGGAGTACTACTTGCAACACTGCTAGATATGACATTACACGAGTTCAAATAGCAACCCTCTCTCCGCTGACGTGTTCTGTCTCCCCCTCGTTCGTTATCAACAAGGAAACGGTCAGCCATAAAGACTGGAAGGGACGTAACACCTCTGGCTGATGATATGATCTTGTGACCCAAGTCGAGTGAAGCGCACACGCCTTGAGGCTGAGTTGCTCGTACCTTTCCCACTGCCGGCTAATTTAAAGTTCAAAGGGCTGGGAAATGGTCCAAATCTTTTTGAGGCACACTTGTATCTTGGAGAGT